TTGTGAATTCAGAAACATTTGATACAGTAGTCCTTGCAGTTGAGGTTATTATCTTTGTGAGGCTGAACTGTAGTTGGTCTCGAGGGATGCTTTACCTTCATCCATGTTCTCTGAATGTGAGCAGCAGTTGTGAAGGGAGAGACAATTCCTAGACTTCAATAAAATTATTTTTTGTTTCTGCATTACAGTGCTAGTGATAAGGGAAATGCAGATTTTTTGACATAATAAACTGATAATTGATCTGTAAATCAGATACAAGTGCATGTGTTTGTTTTTGGCCAACATGGAAAGGGTAAAATCTGGGAGATTTATTAATAGGATGGAGCAGAGGAAGAAGAGGATTTCCCTGGGAGCCCAGGTTCATGAAAAGGCTGTGTAACCTGGGGAGGATCTGGGTAGAAGTCCTAACATGGGTGAAGACCTGGGGCTCCTGCCCTCCTCATGTCTTGGGACAAGCAAATGTACCTCAGGAAACTTCTCACATATAGAAAATAAAGTAACACATTTTACAGAACAAAGCAATTTGTCAGTGACAAGCTCATAATATAAAATCTTGATACAAAAGATGGAACCTTGCCCGTGAAGCCATAGCATCACCTAAGGAAAAGGTTTTTCTGGGCAGGATAACCAGAGTTAGCACCTGGTCAGAGGTACCCAAGATAGGTGTTTTGGGCAGCAGCAGGTTGATGTTCTCACCTGCCATGTTCATTCATTCAGTGCTCCTCTGGAGAGGACGGTGTGTACAGCACACCTCTGTGTCTGAGTAGGGCTTTGAGTCTGCATGTGGTAAAAAGTAAAGTTTTTCAGATGAGTCAAAACCTGATGAAGTGTGTGATGGCCCTTCTATCCCAAGAGATTTAATTCCTCAATCTCCCACTGTTCATCAAGAAATCCCAATTTTTGCTGAAATTGACTTTATACTGATAAATGATGTAGAAGGGATGTGATGAACAAAGGTGATGAAGGGTCTAGGAAGTAAGTCATATGAGGAGAGGCAGAGGGAGCTGGAGATTTTTAGTCTGGCAAGGAGGAGGCTCAGGGGAGACCTTACGGCTCACTACAGCTACCTGAAAGAACCTTGTAGCAAGGTGGGGGTCAATCTCTTCTCCCAGGCCACCAGCAGCAGGATAATAAATGGCCTCAAGCTGCACTAGAAAAGGTTTAGATTGAATATGAGGAAGAATTCCTTCATGGCAAGAGGAAGGACCCTGATAACTACAGTACTGTCAGTCTCACTCTAGTGCCCAGTTAAATTATGGAGAAGATTATTCTGGGAGTTACTGAAAAACCCCTGAAAGAAAATGCAGTCATTGGTCATAGCCAGCATGGCTTCACAAGGGGAGGGTCCTGCTTGACAAACTAATTCCCTTTTATGGCAAGGTAGCTCACCTTGTTGATTATGTGATCGTTTTGGAGTTCATTAAAGCTTCTGATGCTGTCTCTCACAGGATCCTTCTGGATACATCATGTGGTGGGTGAGCAGCTGGCTGACAGGTCAGACAAAAAGGGTTGCAGTGAATGGGGTGGCATCAGGCTGGTGACCTGCCACCAGTGGCATTCCACAGTGCTCCATCTTAGGGCCAGTGCTCTTCAACATCTTCACTAATGACTTGGATACAGAACTCAAAGATATAAACTGGGACACTAAATTGGGAGGAGCTGTTGAAGGCAGAGAGGCCCTGCAGAGAGATCTCAACTAGTTAGAGGGCTGGGACATCACCAGTCATGGGAAGTTTGACAAGAACAGGTGCTGGATGCTGCATCAGGGCAAGCCTGGATGTATGGACAGACCAGGATGCAAAAGGCTGGGAGAGCAGCCCTGTGGAAGCAGGCCAGTGGGTCCTGGTCAATGGCAAGTGGAACATGGTCAGCAGCCAGGAGGGCCAGCCATGTCCTGGGGACATCAGGCACAGCATGGCCAGATGGACAAGGGAGGGGATTGTCCTGCTCTGCTCTGAGCTGGGGCAGCCTCACCTCCAGTGCTGGGTGCCACAATGTAAGAGAGACATAAAACTATTGGGAAGGAGGAGGGGTCACAGGGTGGTGAAGGAGAAGCTGTATGAGGAGCAGCTGAGGTCACTTGGTCTGTTCAGTCCAGAGGAGACTGTGGAGGGGTCCCACAGTGACCAACAACTTCCTTGTGAGGGAAAGCAGATGGACAGGCACTGATTTCATCTCTGTGGTGAGCAGTTGCAGGGCCCGAGGGAATACTCTGATGTTTTGTTGGGGGAGGTTTAAGTTAAATATAAGGAGAACAGCCTTCACCCAGAGTGTGGCTGGGCACTGGAAGAAGCCCCCCAGGGAAGGGGTCACAGCCCCAGCCTGACAGTGTTCAGTACTCTCCAGAAGTGAGCAATGCCCTCAGGCACATGGTGTGACTCTTGGTGTATCATGTGCTGGGCTGAGAGTTGCAGTTCTGTGGTTCTTGTGGCTCCCTTCCAGCTCAGGACATTCTAAGATTCTATGGCTTTGTTTGGTTTCATAGCAACAGAATGTTTGGCACTGGGCAGAAGCTAGCCAGGGCTGACACAGATAGAGGGGCTTGGAAGACGTTTGGAATGTGTTGGATTTTTTCCCTCCGTTTTCTTTGTCAAGACTCGCCTTTTTGAAGGAGAGAGTAAGAGAAGATTCACTCCTTGATGTAGGCAATCCTTGTTCAGCCAGGGGTGATAGTGTTGTCCTTGGTAGCCAGGGAGACACTGAGCAGAGGCATGGAGTGGGCCTCATGGAAAGGTCACACTACATAGGTCTTCTCCCTCCAAAGGAAAAAAAAAAAAAACGGAAGGTTACCTCTACGGGCTTTTTTCATATGACTGAAAAACAGCCTTTTGTTAGAAGCAGTTTTTAAAAGTGATTTTTCTCCAGGAACACAGATAAAGAAAAGGAAGTAGGTAAGGGCAAACCCAGATTAGACATTGGACTGGGATTAATTTGAAGAAGAGATGAAGGAAAGCACCTGCTTGCTGTGGGAGAATGTGGGATTTTTGGCTTCATAGGGACATGAATGTCTCACTTCATTTTGAGGACTATGAGGCACTGCAATAGGTTGCACAGAGCAGTTGTAGATTCCCCATCCCTGGAATTATTCAAGGCCTAGTGGAAGGTTCCTTGCTCATGACAGGCGTTTTGGAATGAGATGATCTTTAAGGTCCCTTTCAACTCAAACTGTTCAATGATTCTACGATGTCTGTTTTTTCTGTTTAGTGTTAGCATACCTAGAAACTGTTCTAAAACCTGCAGAGAGTTGCTGAGCTTTGGTTTCTATGAAATAGGTATGTGTTGGCTTACCCTGGTCTGTATCCAGCAACTCCCAGGAGATAACATTTCCTTCTTTTTGTTGCCCTAGAATAGAAATAATAAGGACAAAGATGCACAGGGAAAGGCAAAGTCAAGGGAGAACAGACAAATGAAAAAGCTCTGACTTGACAAGCTGCAATTTAAATGTAGCTACAGCTTGCAAGACCTGACATTACAGGGAATGCTAAAGATGCCCAAGTTAGTCTTGCAGTATATTTAAATGCACGTCTCAGTACTTCATTTTGCATACATATGTGAGATGTCCAGGCATCTGAGCCACATCTGCTCTGGGCCCACCATTTTATTGGCTCTGGAAGCACTCTGAAACAGCTTCTATTCCAAATAAAATACTGGGATCTTTTCAATTTAAAAACAAAGTAGAGTTTAAGCTAAGTAGAGTGAAGTTTACTGCTGCACTTGTTAATGTGATTCTGGTCTAATTTTAATTCAGGTACAGTAACAATGCTGATTACACTCAGCCAGTAAAGCAAAGCTAAGTGGAAGAGGATGTCTGTATTTAGCTTTTATTGTGGTAATACCTCAGTTGTTAATGTACTACAGAGGAATTTTTTAAAATAACATGCTTTATAAAAAGGGGCCACATTTGTTTTTGTCATCACATCCAAACTTGTGTCACATGGCAGAGAGCAGGACAGATGCACTGTTGCTTATTACTGCTACCCCTTTTGCCTTCAGAAGGGTACATTCCTTATATGTTCACACCAGTGTATGGAAGTGCTATGTCTTTATCCACCTCTGTCCTCAGGACAAGTTAGAAGTATTTTGGGCTTGTGACATCTTGTTGACACAGGACAAGAACGAAATTGTTTTCCCCTTGGACATCTTTATGAGCCAGCACCAGTGTTAGTGATAGTGAGAATGCAGTGTGGTTTAATTAAAGCTTTCAGTTTCACACTTAAAAAAAAAAAAAAAGTAATATCTACCATTAGGCACACATCCTTTGCAGACTTACTAGACATCCCTGTGCTGCCCCTGTTGAATGCCTTGTAGTTACTCACAAAACAAACAATCCTTCCTACTCACATGGATGACAGTAATGTCTTTGCCAATCCAGGGGTTGCTGTACTTCAGTCTGTGGCTCCTTAGAAATTTTAAAAAGGTTTGGAGTAAAGAGGCGTCCCAGAGGGAAAAGAGAAGTCGAGGGTCTTGTGGCAGGGGATTTTAAACCCAGGGGGCAGGGAGAGGGGCCACAGCCAGTGGGATACAGCTGATGGGAGGGATGAGGGGAGAGTCTGACCTGGGGTGAGACCACCACCACAGGACCTTGGAGGAGGAGGGGTGTGCAGAACAAACCATGTGATACAAACAAACAACTTTGTGCAATATAAAAACTACTCAGTGAAAAATTCCAATCACCCAGTGCAAAATAAAAACTAAATAAACTATTCAGTGCAACACAATAATTTGGGGAAAAAGCAGTGGGAGTCTTGTTCTGATACTCTTATTTGACTGGAAATATCTGGTTTATTGCCTTCACTTAGCTAATTCAGGGGAATGAAATTTTAAAAATTATGATTAGGAAGAAACTAGAGATTACCAGTGGCCTTCCTAATAAGGTGGTGTTTATAATGTAGGCAGACTGGTGTGCACATATCTCTCTTAGAAGTTGGAATGGTCTCTGACAATTTCAGAGATGATTTCTCATTTAAAGTAACACTATGTCTTTTTTTTTTACTTGCAGAATGAAGAGACACAAATGGTCCTACAAATGTCCCTCACAAAGGAAGCTCTTGATCCTGTGTGTTACTGGGTGGCTGATTGCACTGTTGAAACTCCTCCATGTTGAAAGACACTTTTTTCCCTCTAAAGGCATTTACTTAGTTGAGCACTTCTTGAGCACTTCTTCTTATGTTAGAAACAGATACTCATACCCTAGAAATGAGTTCCAGTATGAAATTAATTGTTCATCAATATATGAACAAGATCCTCATGAAATTGGCAAGAGTTTAGAGATAAGAAGAAAAGAAATAGTTGATTTAGCAGATGAAGATGTTGTAGCAATGACAAGTGACTGTCACGTGTATCGTTCTCTTAGGAAATACCAGCTAAAACCTGTTTCTCCAGAGGAGGAGAGTTTTCCAATTGCCTATTCTTTGGTTGTTCACAAAGATGCAGCAATGGTAGAGAGGCTCATACATTCATTGTACAGTCATCAAAATGTTTACTGCATCCATTATGATCAAAAAGCAGCAAAAAGTTTCAAATCTGCTTTGAACAATCTAGCTAAATGTTTCCCAAATATTTTCATTGCATCAAAATTGGAGACAGTGGACTACGCACATATTTCTCGTCTGCAAGCAGATTTCAACTGTTTGTCTGATTTGATGGACTCTCCAGTTCCCTGGAAGTATGTTATCAATTTGTGTGGCCAAGATTTCCCTTTGAGATCAAATTTTGAGTTGGTCGCTGAACTGAAGAAACTTGGTGGAGGAAACATGCTGGAAACTTCAAAGCCAAGCAGTAGCAAAAGAGAACGATTTACTTATCACTATGAACTGATGAAAGTGCCTTATGAATACATGCAGATGCCTGTGAAAACCAACATTTCCAAGAATCCACCACCTCATGATATTGAGATATTTGTAGGCAGTGCCTATTTTGTTTTAAGCAGAGAATTTATTCAATATACCCTTGAAAGCTCACTTGCAAAAGATTTTTTTGAGTGGTCAAGGGACACATACTCTCCAGATGAACATTTCTGGGCCACTCTGGTACGTGTCCCCGGGGTCCCTGGGGAAGTTCCAAGGTCATCCCAGGATGTAACAGACTTACAAAGCAAAACTCGCTTGGTGAAATGGAATTATCTGGAAGACTATTTGTATCCTCCATGCACTGGTGCCCACCTTCGCAGTGTGTGCATCTATGGGGCCGGAGAATTAAGATGGCTTCTGAATTACGGACACTGGTTCGCCAACAAGATTGACTCCAAAGTAGATCCTGTCCTGGTAAAATGCTTGGCAGAAAAGGTGGCAGAACAACAGAAGGAGTGGGTACATTTGTCCTCTGATGAGCACTTTCTGCACTTAAGTTCTACGAATGCCTTGGCATAGCAGTGCTGTGTTCTCTGCTGGCTGTGCTGTGTGCCCTGCGCCGGCAGTTCTGCCCTGACCTGCTGCAGGATGGCCGTGAGGAAAAGGCCCATTTTATACAATGTCCAGGGCTCTGCAGAGCCAGGTGCCTGGCTGTTTATTTATGTGAAGTAATTTCTCTCTGATTAACTGTTTTGTTGCATTAAACCTGTAATTGTTTTCAGGGTGATTCTGAGATGGTGAAGTTTGCTTTTGGAGGCTCTTGTGCTCTCTGTGCCAGTGGAGTATTTCAGAAATGTATTTTACTTCATGTGTGTTTGTATCTTTTATAAGAAACTTTAGCAATTCTGTCTGCCTGTCCTCTTTTCCTTCACTTTTGCTTTTTTTAAAGGAATAAAGGGAAGACCTCTGTATCTGCTACCTCAGGAAAACTGCAAGTGCCCATCTCACAGAAAAAAATGAGATCAGCATGAACACCAAATGAGCCATGTGACCTCACCTGAAGTTCCACACATCTCATCTGTGGGAGCTGCATAGATCTTTGCAATGTGAATATGACTGGATGATATCAGGGAAAGAAGATCCCTATATACTGCATTGTGTGTACCATTGTTCTCTTCTCCCAGCTAACCTGGGCATTGCTTTTCCTTCTACAAAGCATGTGATCAGGTGCTGTGCCAACACTTGGTTTCACAAACAGTGAAAGTTGGTTGAAACAGCTGTGCACTGTTGGGTGCACACAGTTGTGTGTTCTCCACAGGCAGAATACATGCGAGCCCTGAGGGCAGTCGCTGCAGCCACCTGGGGGAGGTATTCGTGCCAAAAGAGGTCAATCTTCATTTCTGTCTCTGCCTGTAGGAATATGTTTATTTGAAATAGCAGTCCTCTTGAGACAGTATCCCTACACACAGTGCTATTTCCAGTTGGTGTTCAGCAGTGTGGTGCTTTGTTGAAGTGTTGAACACACAAAAGTTGAGCAGTGACCATAAGAATAGCCATATCACAGAAGTGAAGACCCTGCATGAAGTGTGCTTCTGTGCAAGTCCCATGGCTGTGCACTACCATGATCCCAGGCTGGCAGCAGCCTGCATGGGCCCTGGTTCAGCTGTGGAGCAAGAGTTCTACAGCCCTGCTTGCCACAGCCCTGCCAGGCTTCCTAGGAGGGAAGTGGCTCAGGAGCCTTCTTGCAGCTGGGCTTCCTGCACTCCAGCATGAGGGAGGTGTTTGCAAGGGCAGGGGTATCTTCAGAAACTCCTGCAACTCAGAAATGCCACTGGCATTTTTGGGGGTTTCCCTGGAGTGCTGCCCTGCCACAAGTTCAGTTTTGGTGGTTCCAGTGGATTCTCCATGCCACTGTCTTCTTTCTAACCATCTGTGTTTTGTTGAGGGACCTTTCCCCATGAGTGACTTTGGGATATTTGTATCTGGTCTTACTGATCTACAGATTGCTGTAGTAATGACTATATCTCATACCAATGAGAAATATTTGTTCCTTATTTGAGCTGAAAGAACAAAGTTGCTTTTTGGTCTCAGTTTTTATTTATAAATTTAGCCACAGTGAAGTCATTCGTGGCTCAAGACTGATTTGAGAGTCAGGATTCTCAGGCATTTTTCCACATTTGTGACACTGATTTTCAGTAAGACCTCAAACAAGCCACCTGAGTTTTCTGTTTCAGCTGTTCCCATTGTAAAATGGGAGCCATAATCTTCTATTGTCTTACTAAGCACTTTGAAACCTGTGGGTGTTGTGGGTATGGTTGCACAATACTAATTATTTCGTATTAACTTATTTTGTGGATAATTTATTATCCACAAAACTATTTATGGAGTCTGGCTGCACAGGTCAAGTATTTCTTAAATGTACTGTTTCTGAAATAAATGGGGGTTATTTTTAAAGTCTGTATTGCATACTTCAGTGACATGCCCTGTCTATCCAAGGCTGTCCTGACTTGATGTAATTTATAAATACTTCGTAGAAAATTAAATATTGATAGTACTTACAGATTCATATATTAGTGCTTGCATATAAGATAGAGTCCTCATGTGGTAAAAAAGTTAATAAAAGAGATTGTTAGGATCCCAGAGGGCTAAGCTACAGCCTTCTGTACATATAAATTGATACTTAATGATATATTTTAAATTTTGTATTTATTTAAACTGGCTTTATGTATGTATGTACACATATACCCATTTGGGTTTAATTGTAGTTGTTTGATCTGCCATAGATTTATAAAAATAATCCACCAGCACATTAAACTTCATTGAAGTGTGTAATTTTAATCAGCATGTGACTTGTTGCTATTTTAATTGGATTGGGTTGAGTGATGCCTGCCATTTAGCTAGTTTGAAAGAAGGCACCTCGTTCTTCCGAGGTGGTGGGGAAGTGGGTGCGGATGTGGTGTGGTGTGGGGCGCGCCTGAGGAAGTGGGTGGTGTACAGACATATCTGCAGCTTTATCAAGTGCTGATTTTCCAATGAATTCTAGATGCTTCTGTTCTGAAAGCAACTTTAAAGGCTATTCAAGGTTGCAGAAAGGCAGTTCACAAAAAGATCAGTCATTGGATTGGTGAGGCTGGAAGATCCTCTAGTTCAGCCTCTTGCTCACAACAGGATCAATGCTAAATTTGAGCTGGGTTCCTTGGGTTTTCCCAGGACTCTTGCAGATCTCTAAAGAAGGAGGAATATTTTCCATTGTTTCCAAAGAAAAGAACAGTCAGAATATGTGTCTTAACTTTTGAATAGTTTGCTGCCTGTTTTTTGGCTTTGCATTCAGCCGTGTTGTCAGACTGATGCCTGAATCACAGTTAAGTGATTAGATGACAGGGGTGGGTAACATCCTCATCATCACTGCTCTTTACATGGGTAGGTCTGCCACTGCTGGACACAAGGCATGGTACACAAACTTTCTATGAGGAAAGTGGCTGAACCTAGTTTATGGCAAAACAAAAAGTTCTATTTCAGCTGAAACTTAGATTATAGGCACTTAACCTGCTCTCACATGGTTTGCTGGGGGTTTTCTTTGTTTGTTTTATTTTATTTTCCTTCGTGAAGCTTAGATTTCCTTTTTATTTTTTTCCTCTTCATTCTTTTCCTCACTTGCGAGAGATTTCCCTTGTAACTTATTTCACATATTTGAAGTGCACAGACATTTGCACATACTGGTTTCTTCTGGTTTTTTTCTGCTGAAGAAGCACTGTGCTGGCCTTCTTCCACCCACCCTGCCCTGTGCTGGTCACATGGAGAATCTGGACTATGGGAAGGAGTTAGATGGTATTTTTAAGGGGGAGCAAGGACAGTAAGTTTTATTACTAATGAGCCTCCATTTGTATGTCTTAGCAGAGAACTTGTTTAAGTGGAAATGCTTACATATAGCATGGCTGCTGCTGCCATCTCTGATTGAGGTGAGACTTGAGTTAGTATATTTTAAAAACAAAGATGATTTAGCAAAGAAATTCTTGTAGCCTGTATCAGTATCTTGTCTTGTAAAAAACCAGGTGCTTAAAAACTTAATGGAATTTGACTAGGGGATTACAAAAATACTCAGGGGACTGTGTTAGTTGCATCAGAGAGGGCAGAAAAAGGAGCATCTGATTTTTCTGCTCATGGCAGGTGAATGGTTTTTAATGATGCTTTCTGTGTTATATATAGTAACAAATTTTTAATATGAGCTAGCTTGAAAAACTATTGACTGACATCCTATTTGCATCTTAAGCATTTGCTTCTAATGCATGTGGGCTTTAAAGACTCTTCCTTGGGCTACAATTAGAGACCTCATTGTGATTCAGATTAAACAACAACAGCTTTTTTATTGCTGAGCCTCTTTTCTCTGCCTAAATTTGTGATCTGAGATGAAAAGGATGGCAAGTTTAAGCTTTACCTGGGGCAATGAGAAGATGAGAGAGTATACAGAGATGCTGCAGGTGGCATTATTACCACCATACCAGCTGTTATGCTACTATATTTATAGCCGTTGTGCTATTAATATTGTTGCGGCATAACAGCTGGAAAATGAGAATAACTGCATCTTATACTGTAGAAGTTCAAATTGTCATTTATTAATAACTGTGACAGGAACTGGAAATCACACTTGAAAATAACTACACACAAATATTTCAGCACTAAATTGCTAGGGAACATAGGATGAAAATACAGGTGGTATATGCATTTTTATCTGATGCATGGAATAATTAGGTGTAGATCTATTTCAGATAGCAAAAAGCAGAAGTACTCTTGCTACAGAGGTTTGATATAGCAGAATTGAAGGTCCCAATTTACTTTCTCTAAGCAATGTTATGCTTGCATTTTTTCCCCTACTGTTGTTTCTTACCTTTTAATGCAGCAGTCCCAGCTTCTCTATGGTTGTAAGACACCTATATCAATTAAATTTTATTACTTAGTCCTCATTTACTCTAAGCTGCTTTGGAGTCCAAAACTTCCTTTCTGCCTCTGAAGCAATTCTAAGGATTTTTAGTGTAATCAGCATGTGCCATGGGTGAATTTCTATTTAATTTACTTTAGTGGGACATGTGCATATGCTCAGCTATCCTGGGCCTGGGCTGATACATTTATGTGCTTGAATCACTGGGAAATTAACTGTATTTTACTCCACACATATTTGAAAGGAAAATTAACAAAAATACCCTTTGTTTCTATGCCAAACTTAACTACTTTTTTTTTTTTTTTTTTTTTTTTTAGAATTTTATGTGGTACAGGAAATATATAGATTTAGATGTAGATATTGTAGTAATTGAATAAACAGATGATACTGTGACTTGGATAGGGATAACATAGAGTTATTTTTGTAAGAAGTTGGAGTCACTTTTCTGACTTTTGTATTGCTATCAATATTCTTAAAAATGCTGTCTTAGTTCCAAGCTGTTGCTCAACTGGGATGTGGATGCATCCCTCTCTGCAGAACAAAGCTGTATTCTGTGAAACCATTATCAGGCTTTGGTGGTTTATTTCTTTTTTAGGTCTCAGATTCCAGAATTGTGTATAGTAGAGCAGAAGCAGAAAAGCAT